TGCGGGATGGGGTGGTTCTGTAAATGAATTCATGTGTTGAGTCAATTCTCCTGGCCTTCTGGGGCTGGTTGACAGACAGGAGGTTCCTATGTTTGGTGGCCGTGATCCTGAAAAGCCTCTGTGCGGGGCGGCGGTTGAAGAAAAGGACAGTGGCCAATGTGTTTGAAATCCGCAAAGTGTCAATAGTTTCAAGAACAGTTGAGCGTCAGGCTCCGTTTCTAGATGGTGTTTCAGATCACGTTTCATTTCAAGTGACACAAACTTCAGGGTGCAAAGCATGTTTACACACATTCTACTGTGTATGTGTATGTGTAGCTAATGACAACAATAGCTATAGGCTATAGGTTATCGCTTTAACTTGTAACTTGTAACCTATAACTAGCCTATAACTTATAACTTATAAATTTTAATAACAACTGTTTGTATCATACTATGCCTGGACAGCGACAAAGCCTCCAATGTGTTGGTTCAACACATGCAGTGGTGACTGCGACTATGGACTATGGATTCGACTGTGGCTCATGACTCTGTAACTCAACTTGGCCAGAGCCACCATCAACTTGACCGAAGCCACCATTCGCCTCCATTCACATGAACCTGGACAACGAGACCCAGCTCCATATGAACAGTGCACAGGTGCTAACAAGACAACTTCGGGAACAGGAAATTACAATGGTGGCGCTCTGTTCAAGGAGGACGCTCGCGGGACACAATATTCAATTGAACTGTCGGATGAGCGAGCAGATGAGAATCTCATCGTTTACGCTGACACTGCGTTCAGGAATACGATGGTGGCGGAACTGGCCAATACTGGTGCGGCAGAGTCACCAGAGAAGAGGTGCGGACAGGCCGCAGACTCCCAATTTGCTCAGTATGGCCCGAAGATCGAGATGCCGGTTCTGAAGGTGACTGCTCCAGTAATGACGGGAGCCGATCGTCGCTTCCATGGTACGCCCGTCGTGGTGCACGAGAATGAAGGCTTCTATGAAGGAAAACTGACAACACAGATTGCCCACAACGATGACGACGACGACAACGACCTTATATATTTGATGTGTTACAGTGTTACCTTTTAATATGGATGGCCGGCCTGGTTTGTTTGCGCATCATTTTAGCAAGTGCGGATCCATATCTAAGAGTCAGAGTCGAGTCCAAAATAAAACCAAAAACCGAACCAGTCGCAGGTCTTTTCTCACAAGTAGCACTAGCGCTAGCGAGTTTTCACAAATAAATCGAAATAGCGCTACAAGCGGCAATCAAAAAACAAATCACAAATAGTGCTACTACCACTTAGAACATTCCCACAAATAGCGCGAACCCATTCTCACAAATAGTGCCCTTAAATAGACTCATTCTGACGCATTCTCACAAATATTGCCAAACCATTGACCTCTCATACATTAAGT